ATGAAATAAAACAAAAAAAAATTAATTATTAAAAAAAAATGAAAAAAAGACAAAAAATAAAAAATATAATATAAAATAAAATAAGACAAATATAAATAAAAAATGAAAATAAAAAAAATTTAAAAAATTAAAACAGAATATAATAAATTAAAAAAAATAATAATAAACACAAAAAATAAATAATATAATATTAAATAAAAATAGACATATATAATTAAAAAATAAAAAAATAAATAAAAACTGTAATAAAGTACAATAAAATAAAAAAATAATAATAATATAGATTAAAATTATTTGAAACATATTTGGCGCTTTGAGTTCAATGAAAAAATTTGTCTCTAAAAACCATTAAAAAAAAAGCAAAATAAAATAAAAAAATACTTTAAAATAATATAAGATAAAATGAAACAATATAAAATATTAAATTAAAATAAAATAAAATAGATTAAATTAAAATAAAATAAGACAAAATAAAACAGAAAATAACAAAAATAAAAAAATTAAAATAAAATAAAGTACAATCAAATAAAATACAATAAAAATAAATTGAGGTCAATAAAATAAATATGTCGCAAAAACCATTAAAATAAAATGTAATAAAAAAATTAATTTCAAAAAATAAAATACTATAAAATTTAGTAAAATTAAAAATACAGATCAAAATTAATTGAAATCTGTTTGCCGGTTTTAGGTCAATAAAAAAATAGGTCATAGCGGCATTGAAATAAAATAAAATAAAAAATAAAATTAAATAAAAAACAAAATAAAATAAAAAAAATTGTTTAAAATAATATAAAATGAAATAAAACCAGAAAATAGCACAAAGAAATATAAATAAAATAAGGTAACATAAAGTAAAATCAAATTAAATACAATAAAATAAAAATAAAAATATAGAATAAAATAAATAGAAAATTGTTTGCCGGCTTAAGGTCAATAAAAAATTATTTCCCCAAAAACTATTAAAATTAAATTAAATAAATTTAAAAAATTAAATAATATAAACTAAAATAAAATAAATTTAAAAAATGAAATAATATAAAATAAAATGAAACAAAATAAAATAATAATAAATAAATTATAATACCCATTATTTCCATATTATTAAATTATTATCTTTAATTTATTATTACACATGCGTAGCTATATATTCAAGAAAGAATTAAATAAATCTTGTTATACGAGAATTTTTAATATAAACGATTCAATTTAATTTAAAAAATTATGTAATAATGAATAAATGATATAAACTCGATACTAAATTTTCTATTAAAAATAAATCCTTTAATTGAAAGTATAGAATTTAAAGACATGCATACATACATACTTTCATTATTATAATTTTTTTATAATATTTTGCAAGTATTCCACGGGTGATTCTAATTAAATTAATATTCCACTAAATTTTATTCCCATTTCAGTTTTCGCGCTTATGTCATACCTCTTATATAAATTTATTTTTTCTTTCAGTCTTTATGTTTTTCATTTCAACTTGTATGCATCTCTTTCCAATTTTTTTTTAATTTCTCATTTTTTGTTTTCTGAATTTTCCCGCATTTATTCGCTGTCACTAGCTTAGAGTGCACAGCGCACAGGTGTACGTGTTTTGTTTAGCATTGACATTCGACAAGATGCATAATAGAGCATAAAAGCACTTTCTACGAAACAACAGCAACAACAACACAAACAGTATAGAGAAAAAAACAAGTTTTTAACAGCTTTAACAATGCACATGTCTTTTATTACTTCATAGAAGCGACCAAGCGGAAAGCTAGCGGAATGCTTAAGTGCAGGGTGTATGACAAGCAGACAGACAGCAAGACATGCAGTGAGACGAAAAGACAGTTCGTTGCTAGGTTCCTTAGTTTTGTGCACAAAAAAAAAAAGTTACTCATACGCACTGACATATGCGGCAAAGTGATGTAAGATGGTTTTAACGGCAGCTATGTGTGGGTGTATGTGTACGTATTAGTATACTGCATTGCATTGGTATGATTTTGCTTATGCAGTATACGTTACATACTTTTAAGATACCCATGCATGAGTTTCGAAAGGTAAATAAAAAGCAACAATCAAGTTTATTTAGTTGTACCAAAAGCGGATGGCAGAAGGAAGCGATATATGCATTCCATGAATGGTAGATCTCTCTTATTTACTCAGCTATTTATAGGGTGGTCCGTAGATTGATGGGAAATGCTAAGCTCTAGTTGTACGGATGTAAATAACGGTGATTCTCAAGAATTATACCACAATATTCAGTTGTATGCTTAAATACAAGCAACGGAATATATAGTTCTATTTTTACATATTTACAGTTTGGTAAATTTATTTTTAGAAAATAAAATATAAAATTTTTAATATTGAATCCAACAATTTAAGCTTTCCCACTTTGATATTTTTAGAACTTCCTATGTATTTACCCAATGTAAACACAAATCCCTAAAAATTTCTTTGCGAAGTCCATTAAACCATTTTCGCGACAGATAATCCTGAATTGCTAAAAAAGATTTTCTATTCATAGCTCTGATTAAACATCGCGGGATCAAATGTCATATGACCGAAAATCATTTGTTTGAAATATTTTCCTTTAAATTTTATTTGAAATTAATTTCTGAAAATGAGCAGAAGTCGCTAAAAATTTAATTTCTCTTCGATATTCTGATTATGCATCACGTGAACATATGTCATATGATCAAAAGTCACACGCACGAAATATTCTTATATTTACATACAAGTCCAATACAATATTTATTTTTGAAGTATTTTTCAAAAATTAGTATGAATCGCTAAAAACGTCATTTCACAGTTCTGATTGAGTCTCGCATGATCATACATACATATGTCGTATGACCGAAAGTCATATGCATGAAATATTGCACCTTTTAAAGATGTCCTTTTTCCTTTAAACTTTTTTTGACTACTTTCCGAAAATAATAAAGCTTAAGTCGTTAAAAATATCAATTGTTTTCATAGCTCTGATTAAACATCGGGTGATCATATGTCATATGACCGCAAATCATATGCTTGGAACATATCTCTTCTTAGAGATTTGCTTTAATTTTTCTACTACTTACTTTCCTTATCTTAAGTTGTTAAAAATTTCATTTTACTTCGTAGTTCTGATGAAACATCACGTGATCATATGTCATATGATCAAAAGTCATATGCATGAAATAATATTTTTCTCATATAAAAGTTGCAAAAATATTTCTTTTCAAGCTCACATTTTTATTAAACGCAGTTTACACTAGTAATATCAGTATAATGAATATTGTATATATTATAATTTGATTTTTAGAAAAAGTGTTCTGAAATTTTTTTCGAACATTTTCAAGCTGTTTGTAAATACCATCGCAGTTTTTTCCACAATAAATAAATAAAATAATTTTCAAAAAATTAATTAAATATAATAATTAATATAATATAATAATTAAATATATAATACATATTTTTATTCAAACATGATCAGTCACATCGCATGATTAAAATCACTCAAAAGATCACATGACTTCCCACCGCCGTAATTAAATATCGCCTTAGTATTCGCTTTAATTTGAAGTATTATGGAAGTAAAAGTAATACCCATATTTTTCTGATATACAAAAATCTGAATATCATATGACTAAAAATCATATTTACCAATGTCAAATGATCGAATATCGCATGAGCCTATATCACATAACAAAAATTATTTTTTTGTTTTAAAAAAATTTAATTCATGAAATTTAAACTTAATTTAATAACTTAAATAAAGAAAATTTGTTTAACTTTTCATCACATCATTAACATATCATATGAACGACCATCACTTGATCAAAATTACTTTATTAAAAATCATTGAAAAATCGAAAATTCTCATGACCTTCAAGTCCGCCAGTAGCAAGATGAATGTGAATTTTAAATTAATAAACCATTTTCATAAAATGAGCTCATGAAAGATTTAAGAAATTACTTTCTATAAAAGAAAACAAAATTATTGCTTTATATTTTAATGTTTACCTTTCCTAGTGGCTCCAGCAGCAGCAGAAAACATTCGCTAAGACACCCTACAAAGCCATGGATAGACAACAGAGTCACTATGTGACACATGTCAAAGTACAAACATGACCCTGCCGCAATCCAACAAAGATTGCTTGGGCTGTGCGAACGCCATGAGTGCTGGTGGGATGCATTACTTAACGTTAGGGGTACTAACAGCCAAGCAAATACGCTTCTGCAGCGCACCCCACAATGATAGATTGGATTTTAAATTTTACAACTTAACTCACAAACACACACATATACATACTATCTAGATATTTTTATATTTTTATATGTAAGTACATAATACTGAGCACTTGTTCTATGCAATTTTCACTGAACAACAATAACAACAACAACAGTTTGTCATTTAATTCATTTCTCCATGTGGTGTTTTTTTTTTGTGTTTTGTTCATATATTTTTTTGTTTGTTTTGATTTCCATGCTCAATTATTATTTTTTCTCTACTGCTTTTTTTATTGTTTCTTTTTACTTTTTGCAATAATCACTGGCGCATATTGCTTTTGGTGGTTTTTGTTTTGTTTGGTATTTTATAGCTGCTTCTGTCATTCTTTGTTTTTTTTTTTTTGTCTTACCACCGTATTTCGTTTGCGTGTGTGTATATGTGTGTTTGTCTTTTTCGCCTTTTTATTGTTTTAGCTTTCATGCTGTGCAATTGTGCGTCAAATCCTACTGCAAATACATGTTCAAACAAAAATATATATACGTATGTATATATAAATACATACTTAGTTAGATTTTCCTGTTACCGTTAACATTTTATTTATCTCCGTTTTATGTGACAATAAAAAGAAATCACTGATGTATTATTTATACTCGTTTATATATATGTATTGTCTATCGGGAGTGGATTATCATATGAAAAATAATAGCAGAGTGGAGACAGATAAATTGAAAAAAGAAAAAAAAAGAAAATCAAAATAACATTAAATTAAGAGATTGCTTTTTACGCCACTTACCTTTGTCATATGTTTCAGACGAAGTTGACAGATATTCCAAAGAGAACGAAGCTGGAATTCGCAAAGAGATTGAAAGCGTATGAGTTGGAGAGTACAAATAGAAAATACAGAAAATATAGTCATTGTGTATAAATAAAAACAAATAAATCTTTATACTACCAAAACTTTTATTTCACTTTAATAACTCAATTAAAGCTTATTTTATTTTATTTTATTTTAATTCAATTTTAGTCACTTCATTTGTTGTATGATTTTATATAATTTTTTTGTTTAATTTCTATTATTTTTTTTATTTGTTTTATTTTTTATTATTAGCTTTTTTATTTTTAATTACTTTATTTTATTTTTATTTTTAATTTTTTTTATTATTTTATATTAATTTATTTTATTTCATTTTATTTTATTATTTTTATGTTACTTTATTCTGTTTTTAATTTAATAGAATTTAATTTAAATATATTTTATTTTATGTTATGTTATTTAATTTACCCCACTTCACATTATTTTCTTTTTTATTATTTTATTTTAAATTAATTTAATTTATTTTATTTTTTTTAGTTATTTCATTTTTATTACTTTACTTTATTTATTTTTCTTTTCTTTATTTTTATCTATATCAAATCATTTAATTTAATTTTATTTCATTTCATTTGATTTTGTTTTATTTCATTTCATTTATTTTTAAGTTATTTTATTGTACTTTATTTTGCTTTATTCTATTATATTTAATTTAATATAATTTGATTTAAATTTCATTGTTCTTTATTTAACTTTATTCTAATGTGTTTGCTTTGTTATAATATAATTTAAATTTGTTTTATTTTGTTTTAGTTATCCAATTTTTTTTTTCATTTTAATTTATTTTTATTATTTTTTATTAATTTAATCCATTTGATTTTATTTTAAATTATTTTATTTTTTTACTTTGTATGAAATTATTTTCTTAATTATTTTCATTAATTTGTTGTATGTCTTTTTCTTATCTTAGTTTTATATTATTATATTTTATTTATTTTAATATTTTAATTTAATTTTATTTTATTTTATTCAATTTAATTTAATTTTATTTTATCTTATTTTATTTNTTTCATTTTTTATATTAAATTAAATTAAATTATTTTTTTTCATTCCTTTTTTTATTTTATTTATATTATTTATTCTATGTTATTTTATTCTATTTCAAGTAATTTGATTTAATTTTTTTTAATTTTATTTATTTTAATTTAATATTAGTTTTATTTAATGTATCACAGTTTAATTTATTTTATTTTATTTTCTTTCATTTCATTTTATTTATTTTTTATTATATTTATTAATTTTTTTATTTCATCTAATTTATTTTTTTTACCTTATTTCATTTCATTTCAATTTATTTTATATTTTTAACTTAATTTGTTCTAGTTTTTATTTTATTTTAAGTTACTTTATTCTATTTAATTTTTTTTTTATTTATTTATTTTTATTTGCTTTTAATCGTTTTTATTATTTCTTTTTACTTCACTTATTTTTATCTTTGTTCACACAAGCGCATAATAAATGTTACATATGTACAAACAAACAAGTATATATTTTTTAGTAAATTCCCTGATCTCTTGATATTTTGTGTGTACTTTCACATTGGATTATTACTCTTTAAGTGCGTATGTATGTTCGTACATTCACACATGGACAAGCTTGATAAATATGACTGTACAAAGAAATATCGATGAATGATGATGATGCTGATTAGTGTTATCAAATTGGATTTTGTTTGAAAGTGACTGAGTTGACAAAGTGAGTGCAAGCCAGTGGAAGGGATAAATGGATAAATCTTACTATTTTCCATAGAGTACATACACACAGTTATTTTTATGATTTTTCACTTTTGTAATAATCTCGTTTTTTCCTTCATTTATTTTTTGTTTTTTTATTTTTCAATTTTTACCGTTTACTTACTACTTTATTTATTTATAAATTGTAAAATTCAACGTACTGCAACTACGCATTTTTTCATTGCATAACTGTAGTGTAATGAAATAATGTAGATTATTTTCTGCGTTACAATTTTTTTACGCTTCATCGCCTGCCATTACATAGCTGCAGGATGTAAAGTGAATATTTTTGTAGCTGCCACGGGTTGTGGCGATATAGAGATTTTCAAAATTCGATAACGCGGCGCTTAAATGTTATTAATGTAGTTCGATATGTGTGCCTCTATGTATTTATGTACATATTTTTAAATGCATAGTTTTCGCATGCTGGACAAAGTTGTTAGTGAAAATATATGTTTTTTTTTTTGGTAAAATTCTCCTTATTTTTGCATTTTCAGCGATTTAGGAGAGAAAAAAACTGTTTTTTTAATAAAAATTTAAAAATTTGTTAAAATGAATGAAAACATGACAAATTTAATAGAGAATAAATTGAAAAATGGAATGTTCGTAGATAAAGAAATAATTTTTGTTTAGCTACAAACAACTAATTGGTATCACTACACTACCAGAAGTTATTAGTTGTCTAACTAGTGTTAATTTTTATACTCTAACTAAATTGAACAATTAATTGGAGCACTCAAAAAACATTAACTACCAAAATAGAACTGGTAACACTACACACCCAAAAGTAACTAGTTGTGCAACTAGTCATAATTTGCAAATCGAACACTCAAAAAACATCAACTACCAAATTCGAAATGGTAAAACTACACACCCAAAAGTAGTTAGTTGTGCGACTAGTTATAATTTGCCGATCGAAAGTGGTATGAACATTAGAACAGCTGCTCTAAGCCTCCAAGTCTAATATGACATAGTGAGATGACGGCGCAAGCACTACCATTGCATATTATTTTATTGCACTGCTTATATCACCGTTAAAAATATACTTTTTTTCGTTGCCTGTCAAATACAAGATTTATTTTTACTCTTCTTATTTCTCTTTGCTTCACTGCTGCTGCCCAACGGAAAATATATGCAGCGATGTGTGTGGCTTTAACGTTTTCTTTATTTCATTCTCTTCCTCTGGCTCTTCCTGTCACTCTCTCTCGTCCCCTTACCATCAGTAAGTGTGTGTTTCTCTTGCGGACACATTACGGTAAATTTAATTTGCAATTTTAATGCAATTTAATTCGTGTAAATTTCATATTTTTCACAACACCTTGCAGCTGAATTGACATAAATATATTCGCAGCACAGCGCAGTGGAGCGGTGCTGGCAATGAGAGTGACAGTGACAGTGACAGTGGTTGGTGGTGGTGTTGGTGGTGGTGGTTGTGAAAAAGAGCAGTCAGTTGGACAAATAACTGTGCGCATATATTAAATATTAAAATAACTATGTGTGTATGTAAATATTTTTCTTTTTGCCACACACACACACGCTCACATGCATATATATGTACATACAGCTATAGATTCCTTGTGGACTCTATATTATTAGGGAAGTAGCTAACATAAGTTACTTCGTTATGTTTGTACATATAGTCATATGGATGTATGTATATACTTACACATATGCCATTACTCTTACTCTTATAACTATGAGTCGTCCCTTTTTGGCTGGCACAACAAATCAAAACTCACTTTGACAGCATCAATTCAAAGTAAATTGAATGTAATTTGAAATAAAATAGTTTTACACGCTTGTGAATACAAAAATGGCCTTGATTTGAACGTGCATCAATGCACATAATCATGCATGCATGTATGTATGTATGTTTGTATTTAACTACTTATGTCTTGTGTTTGGGTATAATTTGGCATATGTACATTTATTATTTATTCGTTGATAAGTTTGTTAGGAAATTTTTTTTATATATATATTTTATTTTTAATTTTATTTTATATTTACTTATTTATATACAAATGTGGTTTAAACTTTTGTATGATTCATTTTAATTTTTTCCATTATTTTATTCTTTTTTTTACGATTTTTTTTGCATTTTTAAATGCAGCGATTGGTCTTTTTTATTTTTTAATTTAATTCATTTTTTATAATTTTTTTCTATTTGTTAAATCTTTACCTTTTTTCGTTTTAAATAACCCTGCTGCCATTTTTCTTTTTTTAAATTAAGTTATTTTTTATTTTAATTCTGTTCTATTTAGATTATATTTTAAATAATTATAACTTTTAATTTTTAATTAATTTTTACCTTTTTTCATTTTTTATTTAATTTTAATAAATCTGTTTCGGCTTCAATTTAACATTTATTAATTTATTGATATATATTTATTTGTTAAATTTTACATTTTTAATTTTTAATATTATACATTTTTATGTTTTTTTACTTCTTTATTTTTTTATTTTTCAGATTTTTTTTAATTATCTTCTTACAATTTTCCTTTTTTATTTATTTGTTTTAATTAGTTAATTTATTTCTCTCATTTTTATTCTATTTATATAATATATTTTATATATTTATTTATTTTTTATTTGTTCTTTTATTTTTTTTTTGATCTTTCGTTTTCAAGTTTTATTTAAAAATATATTTACATATTTTTATTTTTTGTATTTTATTTTTTTTTTTTAATAATATTTAAATAAAATTCTTTTGCTTTTTTCATTTTCATTATTATATTTATTTGTTTTTTGATTCTATTTTTATAATTATTTTTATTTGAATATATTCACTTTTTGTTATTTTGTTATGTTGTTTTTCGAGATTTGTATATGACTTTATTTACTTTTTATTTAATTTTTTTTTCATTTTTTTCATTTTTTGTAGTAATTTTTATTTTTTTATTTTTAATATTTTTATTCTAATTTTATGTTATTTTTTATATTTATTTATTTTTTAATTGCTTGCTTGTTGCTATATTTTTTATTTATTAATTAAATTTTTTTGTTTTATTACTATTATTATTATATTTAATATATTAAGATTTTTTTTAAATTTTTTAAAATTTTTTTTTAAATTTTTAAATAAATGTGATTAAGCCGTGATTTTTTATTTTTTTATATTTGTATTTATTTTTTTTATTTTAGGGTGTTTTTATTTATATAAATCTTTTAATTTTTCTTTTAATTCTTTAAATAAATCTCTATCGATTTCCAGCCCGTATTTCGCTTTTGTGCGTTGCTCCC